ACCATCCTAGAGGAGCTGGTGGGGCTCCTCATGAGTGCGCCGAGAGGCTGCTGGGTTAGCACATGGACGGCATGGGCCTGGAAGTAGTGCCCCAGCTTCTTTACCGTATGGACGATGGCCAGCACCGTCTTCTCAATGGGGGAGTACCTAAGCTCGGCCTCCCTGAGCGTTTTGCTGATGTAGAAGATGGCCTTCTACACCCCTTCGTCCTCACGGATGAGCACGGAGCTGATGGCCGATGTGCTCACCCCTAAGTACAGGAAGAGGGTTTCGCCGGCTTTGGGCTTGGAGAGCACGGGTGGGGACGATAGGTACCTTTTCAATTCGTCGAATGCTTCCTGGCACTCTGTCGTCCACTTGAAGCTGTTGGCTTTACGCATGATCTGAAAGAAGGGGAGTGCCCTCTCGGCTGACCTGGAGAGGAACCGGTTCAGGGCCGCCAGGCGCCCCGTCAGTCGCTGTACTTCCTTGACGTTGCGGGGCGGCTCCATGTTGATGATAGCCTGTGTCTTCTCTGGGTTTATCTCGATGCCTCTTCGGCTGACCATGTAGCCGAGGAACTTGCCGCCCTGGACGCCGAAGGCGCACTTCTTAGGGTTGAGGCGGAGCCTGAACTCCTTCATGATTTCAAAGATTTCCCGGAGGTCGTCGGCGTGGGAGGAGGCCTGCCTGCTCTTGACGATCATGTCGTCGACGTATGCCTCCATCGTCCGGCCAAGGACCGCCCTGAAGATCTTGGCCACCATCCTAGTATAGGTGGCGCCGGAGTTTTTGAGTCCGAAGGCCATGACGAGGTAGCAAAAGATTCCCTCTGGGGTCATGAATGTCGTCTTCTCAGCATCATCTTCATGCATGGAGATCTGGTGGTACCCTCTGAAAGCGTCGAGGAACGACATCAACTCGCACCCCACCGTCTCGTCCACCAGCTGATCAATGTTGGGGAGAGGGAACGGGTCCATGGGGCACGCCTTGTTCAGGTCAGTGTAATCAACACACATCCTGAATGTTGGCGGTTTCTGGGCGAGGACGACGTTGGCCAACCACGTCGGGTACTTCACCTCTTTAATGTGTTTGATTGAGAGGAGCATGGCGACCTCCCCTTTGACGAAGTCCCGCCTGTCGGCGGACAAGTAGCGCCGCTTCTGCTTGACGGGCGTGGAGGCCGGATCGACGGTCAGCCGGTGAATAATCACCTGGTGGCTGATGCCTGGCATGTCGTCCGGGCCCCATGCGAAGACAACGGCGTATGACCGCAGGACGAGGAGGATGGCATCTCGTTGGTCCGGAGGGAGTTGCTTCCCGACTCTGAGAACCCGCTCTGGCCGGGAGGTATCCAGAGGGATTTCCTCGACCTCCTCGGTCGGCTCCGCACGTGGCCTCTCCTCGTCCTTGGCAACGGCTGCCGTGATGGTGTCTATCCTCTGGCCTTCCCTCTCGGCCGGCCTTGTCAGCTTGAGGTAGCATGCTCTGGCTATCCTCTGGTTTCCTCTGGCGTAGCCGATGCCGTCATTGGTGGGGAACTTCAGACATAAGTGCTTCATGGAGATGATGGCCTCCAAGTCCTCCAGCGCTGGCCGCCCCAAGATCAGGTTGTGGGCGCACTGGAGGTTGACCACCATGAACTCCATGTCAATCTTGGCGTGGTGGGGGCGGTCACCGACCTCCACGAGGAGGACTATCGTGCCCTCGGCGTCGATAGAGTCCCCGGTAAAGCCGGATAACGGTGTCTTGATCGGCTTCAGCAGAGCTCTGTCCAGCTTCAGCTGCCTGAAGGTATCCAGGTACATCACGTTGACGGAGCTCCCCGTATCGATGTAAGTGCGGTGGATGATGGAGTCACCGATCTCACACCGGATGACGAGGGCGTCCCTGTGTGATTCCGTACCCGGAGGAAAATCCTTGTCGGTGAAGGTGATCGCCTCCGTCCGCTGCTTCTTCGGCTAGGGGGGAACGTGGGACACCTCCCCTATGTAGAGGGATTGGGCCCGTTTCTTTCTCTGAGTGGCGGAGTCCCCCCCCCCCCCAGTGTTTCCACCTACGATGAGGTGAATGTGATTCTTCTTTGGCGGGGGCTCTTCGAAGTCCTCGTCGTCGCTGAGCCTACCAATCTCCCGCTTCTTCGCAGAGGGTTCGCCCCCATGTTTGCCGGTGTTTACCCATGTGTTTTTGCGTGGGCCACCTTTAACAAACTGGGAGAGTTCCCCCTGGCGAATAAGGCGCTCGATGGCCTTCTTCAGTGTGATGCAGTCGTCGGTGTTGTGCGACGAGTTCTTGTGGAACCGGCAGTATGTGCCGCTCTGCTGGATGGCAAGGATCTCCTCGGCCGGCCGAGGAGCCTGCTCGATGAGGCCGTGCTTCTCGGCATAATCGAGGATGGTGCCGACCGGGTGAGTGAGGGAGACCCCCGGCCGTTCCAACCTCGGTCGCCAGTGGCGATCTTTCTTACGCTGTCCACCAGAGCCGTGACGGCCCTGGGCACCCTGGCCGGCCGGGGACGGACCCGGGGCCGGCGAAGGATTTGTCTTCTTGGAGGGATGCCCCCCCTCTTTCTTGTGATTATGGAGCTCGTCGGCGTCGGCGTACAAGCCTCCGCGCTGGAGCGCCTTGGCGTACGACCTCGGAGGGTCGGTGATAAGGCTCCTAGCGTACGGGGAGCTGCGGAGGGCTCCCTGGTACAAGGCGAGGAGGGTGCGCTCATCGGCCCCCTCGACCTCCTCAGTTTCCCTCGTCCACCGATCAATGAATAACCGGAGGGACTCCTCGTGCTGCTGCTTGACGGAGAGGATGTGGGTGAAATACTTCTTCGCACGCTTCCTCCCGGCAAAGTGAGTGAGGAAGCGTTGGGCGAGATCCTGCCACGAGTCGATGCTCCCTTCGGGGAGCGCGTTGAACCACTCGTACGCTGGCCCCTCGAGGGTAGAGAGGAACCAACGGCAGAGGTATTCGTCGGACGCGTTCACCATCAACATGTTGTTCTGATAACGGCTGAAGTGTTCCTGGGGGTCTGATCGGCCGTCGTAGGACTTGATGGCGTTCCCCCTGTACTTCTCCGGGATGGGGGCCGAGAGGACCCTGTTGGTGAAAGGGGTCCTGGTCCTGACCTGGATGATGGGGTCACCTCGCCCCTCGTCCAGCTCCCTCTCCAGGGCGCAAACCTTGTTCATGAGCGCGTTGAGGCCGGGGTCGTTGGAGGCGACGGCCGTAGGGATGTTGGCCGACTGCTTGGCTTCCATCTGAGCAAGCCTCCTTTCCAGCTGGGCGATGACTTCATCCCGGGGGTCCCTGGCGGCCGCAGCGGCGGCCGGCTGGTTCCTCATGCGCTCGTCGTGAGCCGCATTGATCCGGTGGCGCACGTCGTCTTCGTGCAACTTCCCCTTGCCTGTGTCCGGGCGGGGCTGGTCCGCTGTCCGGGACACAGACCCCAAGCTTTCCCTCGGCGAGCCAGGACGAGGCTCACCAATCCGTCCCGCCATCCTCTCCGAAACCGGACGACGGCGCGTGTCGCCTAGCCTGTTGAAGGCAGAGGCTTTTCCACGCGCTGGGGTCTGCCCGGGCCGAAGAGGGGAAGCAGGGTGGGAGTGGGACGACGCCGTGTCCTGGGCCACCACCCCCTCATCGTTGCCTATCTGGACGGCCAACGGTTGGGGCTGAGGAGGTTGAGTGACGTCCCCCCGGTCCTTGGCAAGAGTGCGCTGAGGACGGTGGGGTTCTGAGCCAGGCTGGCGATGATGGCCGACAGCGCGGCCTGGACCTGTGGATCCACGGACGGAGAGGCCGCGGCCATAGGCTGGGCCGGGGCGTGATCCGTCTTCTCAGCTAGTTTCTTGTCCAAGCCGAGGCGGGCATCAGGGGCTCCACCGTTGAGTTGGTTGCGGAGGTCCGTTGTGAGGTTGAAGGCCTCCTGGAAGAGGTCCCCTCCGCCGACCTGGTCGGCCGTGGCGTCCTCATCGTGCTCCCTGGGCTCTTGGTCCTCAGGGATGGCCTTGCTGACGAGGTTGCGGTTTGACTTAGTTCTTCCCATGATCAGTGGTTAGCTGTGCTTGGTAGCGACGAAGGGTGCTAACTTGATTGTTCTAGCTCTCAATGAAAGCACCAAATGATAGAGTATATCTAGAGAGAAGTGAGAGCTAGAGAGAGAAGTGCAATAATATGCTTCAATAGAATGAATTTGTAACCCCTATAACTACTCCCAAGGGGAGTATTTATAGAGAAAATACGGGCTGGGCTCCCAAGCCTTGGGCTTGGGAGGCCCATTTACAACTGGACCGCTACTGGGCCGAATACAAAGCCACTAATGGGCTGTACGAATAAGTAAGTGTAGAATCCGGTTCTGTGGAGTCTTCGTGGCCGACGAGGGCGTGGCCGACGAGGGTACGGCCGACGAGGGTACGGCCGACGAGGGCACCCGGGTTCCTTGGCTTCAGGACCATAATCTGAGTTGGCACCTTTTCGGCTGACAGGGGTCCCTTGGCCGACGAGGGCGCCACTCTGTGTCTTGTGCTTTCTGTTCTTCCGAGTATGTGGGTCCGGGGGCTCAGACCCATATACTCCATCAGTATACTTTTGCTAATTGCTAATACTCCGTACCCGGACTAAGAGAGATGCATTTGGGCCGGCCCAAATTCCCAGATTGAACTTATCCACAGCCCTTAGTCTCCCTGAGTGGCTTAGTAGAAAAATCAAAACAAAGAAAACACTAAAGCTACCCTCGTGGCCTCGTCGATCTGTCCTCCGTCGTCCAAGGGATTTTCACCGGCAAGCGGCAGAATAATTGAGAACTTAATTAAAGGAATTGGAATAACTACTGAACTGAATTAACAGTTTACTTCCGGGATAATTGAGTAAGTTTTTTCACTCAAAAACATTTAATTAGTTTATATACGGGTATAATTTAATAGCTTTTGTTTTTTATGTGAGCGCAAATAGGGATATGTTTGCTTTATTCTTAGTCAAATATCATAAACCGTAAAATGCCTTACAATTCGTCACGGAGGCCCGGAGGGAGTATAATTATGTGGTATATTTGTTAGACATCTAATCTAATACTCCATAGATAAAAGATATATTTGTTCCAAATTTAAAAGTTAGGCTTTTATTTGCTTCACACTGAAATTAGAGAGTATATTTGCTCACTCAAAAAATTAAGTCATATTTATTCCTTCTCTTTGTATTTTCCAGCACGCGCTCAAAAATAATTCTGGTTCCGCCACTGCTCCCAAACACAACCTAAGTACATATCGGTGATTCTCGAGTGCTAAAAAAGTTGATCAAGTCATCATAGAAATATTCGTTTTCCCCCCAATTTGTCTTCCAAAGTTTTTTTTACATACCAATTTAGTAAACCGCTCCTTTTTCCCACCAATTCAGTAATTTGGCCCCACCACTCTATGCCGTTGCTAGGCATTTCCGCCTTTTTGAATTGGATATTTTTTCCGTATGAATGGTGCGTATTTTCTCAGCTAAGAAAGAATAGTCGATCCGCAAAGATCGGGCGATTGACAAACGGCATCTTGAACAGCCCCGCTAATTCCGGGGCAAAAAGCAGGACAGCGTTCCACTGCTTCACGCACAGCTAGCTAGCCAGCACCTACAAGAATCCTCCCGGCTCGCCTATATAAATCCATCAATCCATCACTGAATTATTATTATTCAGTTCTTCGGTAGTTTATTGTGTTAATTATCTCCCTCTGAAAATATGGCTTCCGCAGATGTTCAGTACGGGCAGCAGCAGTTCAGGTGCTTCGTCGGTGGATTGAGCTTTAATACCGTTGAAGACGACCTGGGAAGGACTTTCGAAAATTACGGCAAGGTTATGGAAACCAAGGTCTGTTGACGCGCAGAGCAATGATCGGATCGGAACCGACCCGACCCGACCCGCTCTCTCTCTCACTTATACTTCTCTCTGTTACTTCATCTACGTTACTGTTCTCTATATGTTACTGTTATTCCTATTCGTGAAACGGTATGTTTCGTCTTCCTCTCCGATTAAGAGTTGAAGGTCAATTGATCGAGTTGTTTTTGTTTGTTTTCGGGCATTAATTTCGGTTGAATGCCTCAGATCTGGATGAAACTGATGATGATGCGTTTGTTGTGGATTTTGTTTGATCAGATTATCATGGATCGTGAAACTGGTAGATCTAGGGGATTCGGTTTTGTTACCTTTGAAACCGCAGATGGGATGGAGAAGGCGATCGAGGCTTTGAATGGCAGGGATATTGATGGCCGTAACGTTACTGTTAACCAGGCACAGGAAAGGTCTCGCGAGAACGGCGGCGGTGGGTCACGCGGTGGCGGATACGGTCAACGTGAAGGTTATGGTAATCGGCGTGAAGGTGGTGGTTACAGAGGCGGTCGTGGTTATGGAAATGGCGGCCGTGGCTATGGAGGTGGTTACAGAGGCAGCGATGACCGTGGTTACGGAGGCGACGATAGCCGTGGTTACGGAGGCAGCGACAGAAGTGGCTACGGCGGCGGCGAAAAGCATGGTTATGGAGGCGGCCAAAGTGGTGGATATGGAGGAGGTGGCTATAGGAGCGGTGGTGCTCCCGACGGAAACTGGAGGGATTGACGGAGTTGTTGTTAATTCCTTGTTTGGCGGTTTACTACTAATTAATATTTCCCTCGCTTTTTGGGCGCTTCAATCAATTTCAGATGGTTAATTTCTGGTCACTGTTCAATGTTTTGCGGTTGTTTGTGTACTGTTCGTATTTGGTCGCTCCTGGTTATACTGAAATTTTATACGGATGAGAATAATAACATCTCCATTGCGAATGAAATTTCATAAAAAGCTGGACTGATAAAGTAGATCTTGAACTGTTGACCATGTAAATAATATAATTGACACATGAACACTCAACTATAATTACAATTACTAAAATATGAAGAAAAAAACAGATTTTTATACTGTTTCTAAAATATGAAAAAAAAAATCAAAAAAATTATAACGATCCAACTAAAAAAGAGGGGAAACTAAAAAAGAATGAAAGAAGAATATTGTCTTCATTTTAGTTATCATAAGCATATTCGTTGTTATTATAAGATATTGATCATTGCTAAATACATTACTTAAAATTCATCATTAGTGCGAAATTTCATCACAATTCGAAGAGGGACTAGGTTAAGTATGAGTTGGAGTTAAAAAAAAATCAAAAATTTTGTCAACCCATAACTTGATATATACAGTGTGTTAATAATTAAAGGATCCCAATAATTACAAACTATCAATTAAAGACCTAAAATACCACGAATTTTAATATTTTTTTATTTAAAAAAATTAAAATTCAAAAGAAATAATTATTATTTAATTTTACTAAATTAATAAACTTTTGTAAAGAAAGATCATAAAAAATTAGCAAAAAAATTAGAATGTGTGATATTCTAGGTCTTTGATTGATATTTACAATCATTTAAATGTTATGTTGGTACATTTTATCTTTCATATACTCCCTCCGTCCCTGTATAAAAGTATCCATTCATTTTACACACATCTTAAGAATGTGAGTTTGGTTGGTACTGTTTGGCACGGTTTGGACACTGTTTGGCACTGTTTTACATTGTTTTGCACTGTTTTGTTTGCCAAAAAAGGAAAGGGAACTTTTATTTAGGGACGGCCCGAAAAGAAAACAAATGCTTTTATTTAGGGACGGAGAGAGTATCTTATTTATAGTGACCCTAACTTTGTGATTCTAAATTAATAAAACTTTCATTCCAACCCAATACCCAAACGCTAACCAGTTCGAATCTGTTACATTTCGAGTCTGAATCCAAGTTTGAGTACATAAATCTGCCTTTGTCCCAATTTGATAGTCTCATTTCTTTTGGACACGAGTTTTAATAAAGTGATTGAAAGGGTAAAAGTTGTGGTTGAGATTTGAGTATAATAAAATAAAATGATATGGATCACATCTTTCTTTCCAAAAAGGGAAACAGAACCATCATTTTGGAACATCCCAAAAAGGAAATACAGAACTACCATTTTGGGAGGGAGGGAGTAATATTTACCTTACGCTACGCAATTCTTATATGGAGTAGTGGTAAAGTAGTCTATTCAATTATTATATTCAATCATTAAGATAACAATAATTTTGAAGCAATCTCTATAAAAGATTAAGCATTCCATTAAACAGAATAAAGTCAAAGATAAAGAAATGGACGATGCTTATATTATTGTAAAGGGAAATTTATTACATAGCACTAAAACATTTATAAATATCAGAATTAGTAATTCTTTTTTAAACACTTGTAAAAGCATTTATAAATAAGTACTGACTAAAAGAATCAACAATTATTTCTGACTTTCAATCATACTCTTAATAATTTTTTCTTATTGTGACCCTTATTATAGGAGAAAAACTTTGTTGAAGTCAATGGATACCATCTAAAAAGAGACTACGGTCACGAACATCTTTTCAAAGTTTAATAGCGTTGGAATTTAAGTATCTTAGTTATTACGACAACACTCGCTAGACTTTTGAATCATAGTAGAAATGTGATTAATTAACCTACAAGATATTTACATTTTAATTGCTGATTTTTTATATAAAAATGTTATAACAGTTGCATACAAAAAAATGGATTTGACAAATATTTTGATCACATATGTCCTCTCTCCTAACAAAATGGCTTTAAATTTTGGAAAGGGTCCTTTAATGTGCCAAAATCTACCCCAAAGTCATTTTATCGTGACATATTTTACATGGAGCCAAAACAAAAAATCATGCAATTTGTGAAGATTATAATTTCATTGCAACATTCGTATGTGGGTTTGCAATTCAATGATACATTAGTTTCTATATACGAAGTATATGTGTGTGTGCCTTACTCCGTATTTGTTTATAATAATTTAATTATTTAGGCTAATGTTAACTTTCAACTTAATTAAAAGGGACTTCATTTTAGCATAGAGGAAAATAAAATAGTCATAAAGTAGTTCATTATAATGCGTCAATGTACATTTTGGAGACAAAGATCAATTTAGACAATAATCAATGTCAAAAAAATACTGTTTATAGCTTGTGTTTTAAATAATACGGAGTAACAGTGTAACACATTTTAATTTGCTTCTTCAGATCAACAAATTTCTTTGAAGTAATTTATATAACATCCAAGCTTAAACAATTGTATAAGAATTAATACAATTCGACCTAAGTTTATCACGTAAATAGTAGCTGTAGTACTACTTCGGACAAAAAGCGGGGGTACTTGCCCCGCCCGAATGCGCCCAGGTCTCCAACCGCAAACACCTAATATAATCATACAATCATCTCTTAAGGACTCAAGCTTTCCATTAAAATGCGTATATTCCCAGGAAGCTCAGAAGGATCACAATATAAGATTAAGAATTTAACAAAGGAGAGGAAAACATATGTTACAACTTACAAGTACTTTTGGGAGTTCGCATACCACCAGTGGCGGATCTCTCTTATATTTTGGGTATTCGAAATCACATTAAAACTACAATTTCAAATGATAGTATGAAGCATTAATTTATGCAAGAATTATGCCCTTTTGTCATTCCAATAAAAAAACTACTACATGGCCAACAAATTATACACTCATCTTTTTCAATATAATTTTTTACCCCAGTCAAAAGAATTTTCAGACATACATTTCAATAAGAAAAACACTAATTGAATTCTAACATTTCTTCAAACCAGAGCAATATGAAATTAGGGAATAAGGAGAGTAATATATCTTCCAAATTGAAATAAGCAATTTCCTTAGAACAAGAGCAACAAACTAGCAGCATATAGTCCGCACTAAGGCAGGCACTAGTATTTAAACGATTATTTTTTCTAGCACAAGACATAATAAGCAGTGATGGTTACTGTTTTAAAAAAATCAGGGTGTTCAAGTGAATACTCTTGAACAAAGTGGATCCGCCACTGCATACCGCACACTATTCTAAAACCCCTAATGTATAAGGGGAGGAAGGGAGTTATAAATTCAAAACAAATTCATATTTATGTCACCCATCAACTATGATGTTACCTCTTCATCGTAGTCGTTCCTTTCCCGAATACTTGCAGGTAAGCCCAATGTGAAAGTTTCCATGATCATGATCATCATCAATTCATCATCATTACCCCCACTGACGCAAAGGCTCCACCTACGGTGGGGTAAGGGGTTGGATGTACGCAGTCTTACCCCTGTACTAAAGCACAAAGAGATGGTTTCCGGATGACCCATAGTGAAAAATCGCGTTGAAAGTTGCATGGACTGACAATGCCAAAGTTTCCACAGGAGAATAATCATTTACCCCTGTACTAAATGCTCCATGCAGCTACCTCGATCAACAGTGCAAATGCTCCATGCAGCTACCTCTTTGATGGCTTTCCATCAGAATCAAGCGATGGTGTTAATTTAGTCTTTGATTCGATTTGAACACTCATTTTTTGTGGTCTTAATCGTAACCATTAATCTGCTTGATAAATTGAGAGCTTTGTATTGATCCTAACTCTGAGATAGTCTTTGATTGGACCACTCATTTTTTTGTATCTGCAACAAATCATTTATTCAATGAGCTCTGAAAAATGCTTCTTTAGTTCACAAAGATTTCAATTGTTAAGAAAGTGATAGTGTGAGTTTAGCTGGTTCCACATTTTTTTATAATTATGAAGCATCTTACATCATGAACTTAAGACACCGTTTAAAGTCTAGGATAGAGGACCGAGAGTCTTTGTAAAGGTTGTGAACAAAATAATCCATTCAATTTTAAATAACAAACTCGCTAAGGACTTTTGTGTGCTCTAAAAAGTGAAATACTACGTATATATTTTGTTCTAATTCCCAATAAATCTAACCCTGTGTATTTACTAAAGGCAGGTGAAGATTAAGGAAATGGTTGAGAAATGCTATGAATTTGACAGAAATGGCATTTATGTGATTATGTGTGAGCTAGCCTCACCCATTCTTTGAGGGTGGCTGACATTCAAGGAACCTTTTGGTAAGTCTTTTTCTTCCCACACACTAACACATAAAGCTATACCAAAAGAAGAAGACTTTGTTTGCCATCAAATGGACCAAAAGTCTTTCTGATTTAATTCATGAGGAGACAGATTATTGACATTGAACACACCAAAAAGATCTAAATTTAAGATAATAACACATTTTGTAGCGTGTAATGAAGGTATGTTTAATACAAGAATAACTTTATTACCTTTCCAACTGCGAAATTTAAAAACAAAGTATGAAACAAGCCACTATTGATAAATTTTGTATCTTTACCCCAGTGAAACTCAATAATGCTCTCAATCTAGGCAATAAAGATATGATTACTCCATTAACCCAAGCTCTCCATTAATCATTATTTGGAAAGTAATAATATTTTTCTGACAGACCACCAAATTAAAGAAGCGATCGAGGTTATAGATGCTGAAGAGAAAAGTCTTACAGAAACAAGAAGTGCTGGAAATACTTGACCTACAGAGTAGAGGCATCGCCTTATAGGTCTGCATTGTAAAACAAAAACTATGCTTGAGAAGCCTTTGACAGCTGCTGTTGAGCTCAAAGGGGTTTGATTTGGTTTTTAATAGTTGGGGAAAGGCCCTGTGGCCCACCAGCTACTTGTCTGAGTCATTTGGTATCTATAGATCAAAATACTCCTTACTCATGAGCCTCCTATTCAATACTTTATTAGCAATATGATAGAGAGTGGGGAGAGCATGGGGCGGGACCGGGCTTGGGCCCACTTCCGTGGGCCGGGTTAGGGCTGTCTTTATAGTTAATTATTATTATTAAGTTAATGTTATGTTTTAGTTTGGGCCTATTATTAGTAGAGTAGTTAGTTGAGTTAATTTGAGCTTAATTAAGCTTTAATTAATTTGGGCTTGATTAGGGTTTCTTGTAGAAGGCTATTTATACCCCTCGCCAGGGTTCATTCTGACTATCTTGGAATAAAATTGGAGTTTAGCCTTTTGGCTCTAGGCAACGGTATCTTTATCGTTGATTATCTGGGCAACGGTATCTTTATCGTTGATTTTTATTTTTCTGTCAACAATTGGTCCGACCTGCCGGATCCCGTCCCGCCTGGATGACAAGATCTCAAAACGATCGATTGACCGAGTTAGAGACCGAGCAACACCGACTGGGAGAGGAGCAAGCCCGATTGGGGGCTGAGCAGGCACGGATGAATAGCACCCTGGAAGAGCATGGCATGCGGCTGGCTGAAATCATCGCATCACTGGCGACGCTCACGCAGGCCTTGGTGCCGCTGATATCGCAGGCAGCTTCCTCGGCTGCAGTCGGGAGTGAGACTGTAACAGCCGCCAGCGACGGCGGACTGCCCAGCGCAGCCACCGTTCTCCTTCCCTCGTTCGACGGTGAAGACCCAATTGGGTGGTTGGCGAGAGTGGAGCAGCAGTTTGAGCTCAACAGGACCCCACCGGACAGACAAGTTGCAGCGGCTAGGGTTTCTATGGAAGGGGCTGCCCTCTATTGGGTAACATGGCTGAGAGCGCGCAAACCAGACATGACCTGGGAAGAATTCAAGCAAGCCCTGGTAGCTAGATTCGATTCCCGATTCCAAGGGAACAGATTTGAAAGGCTTTCCGGCGTCAAACAGATTGGATCAGTGGAGGAATACAATACCTTGTTTGTTCAACTGGCTAGCCAAGTTCCTGGATTGACCGATGCTCATTATTTGGACTACTACATGAGTGGACTTGAGGAAGCCATTCGAAGCTCGTTGCGCTTATTTCGACCAAATAATTTGGAAGAGACCATGGAATTAGCTCCCGATGTGGAGCACAATCTGTCCGTCCAGAGTGGAGGAAGTGGCAGCCCGAATTATAAGCCTTCAGGGGTATGTTCCAGCAGCTTTTCAATGTCAAACACAAGTCCTCCGTTGACTGCCGGTGGTGGCAGCGTACAGGGATCAAGTGGCAGCTTCCCGAAGGATAGTGGACAGCCTCTGGGGACGAAGTCAAGGCTGTTCGGGCAGCCTACGACACGCTCTCAGTTCACTCATCTTCCGCCAAAGGAGCTCGCAGAATTGAGGGCGAAAGGATTATGCTTTAGATGTAAGAAACCATTTACACCGGGGCATGATTGTCCCTTTAAGCAGTTGGGGGTAATGATAGCCGAGGAGGATGAAGAGTTGGACCTCCGACAGCATGAGTACTGTGAAATAACCAGCCAGGAAAGGGTTCAGAAAAGAGAGGAAGGATATTTTCCAGTCTATTCTATGTCTGGGAATTTCAACTGCCCGTCTGTGAGATTTCAACCTTGAGGACAAGGTTATTTTGAAGGAGGATGGATTGATAGAGAGCGAGGAGAGCATGGGGCGGGACCGGGCTTGGGCCCACTTCCGTGGGCCGGGTTAGGGTTGTCTTTATAGTTAATTATTATTATTAAGTTAATGTTAAGTTCTAGTTTGGGCCTATTATTAGTAGAGTAGTTAGTTGAGTTAATTTGGGCTTAATTAAGGTTTAATTAATTTGGGCTTGATTAGGGTTTCTTGTAGAAGGCTATTTATACCCCTCACCAGGGTTCATTCTGACTATCTTGGAATAAAATCGGAGTTTAGCCTTTTGGCTCTAGGCAACGGTATCTTTATCGTTGATTATCTGAGTCCATTTGAACCATTCCTTTTAGGGGCCGTTTGGAGCACCAAAAATAGGATGATAAGCCTGAAAATGCTTAAATATCTCCAAACACCAACCAAATTGGCTACTTTAGCTGAATTTTCTTATCAGCTGAAAAAACAAGTGTAGAGCTACTTTTCCGGCTGATATTTATTATTCCACCGTTGGCAATGGTAAAGACCCTTTACCCCAGCACGGCTGTAGAGATCAATGCAAGATTATCATTTAGCTTGCTTGTATCAGAAGAATACTCTACGGCAGAATATTGATCTGGCGAATCATTACATATCAACTGCATATGAGAATGATTCGTATTGGAAGATTACCCCTACCCCATATCAGAATTTTTCCCAAACCCTTCAGCTGAAAACGGGCTTGCTCACTCTTGCTTTCCCTTCTATTAATCTGCAATTTATTTATTTTGGTTGACAAAATCTCAATTTCCAAATTTTCTATTCATAATCTAAGAATCTTACCTCTCGAATATCATTCGTATATGATTTTCTTTTCTGTTCTTATGTTTTAAATTGACCTGGTTTTTTGTCAAGCTCTTCCTTTTTAGGTGGTAGAAGTTTGGTGAAATTTTTCTAGATTTTCTATTTTTGTAAAAAGAAACCGTTTTTAGAATTGGAAAGACCCTGGCTACAGAAAATTTGGCCATATTTCACTTATGTACATAGGATGTTCACTTGTTTAGATTTCACGCAGAAAGGATGTACAATAATTTTAAGGAAATCAATAACATATATCATAGTTTAATACCCTTTATGGTCATTTTACATTCAATCAGTTATTTCAGCCAATATATTAACTAACACTTTCACTTCAGCAGATTCAGTCTTTTCAGGCATTTCAGCCATTGCAGCCGCTACCAAACAGGCCCTTAACATGTTATATGCACAGTATTAGAAAAAGAGTTACTTCTCTTATTTGATTAATATCTAGGTAAACTTAATTTGACTCTCTAAGTTTTTAAGAAATGTATACTAGGTCATTGATGTGCAAAACAAACATGTTGTTAAGAGGTTGTTATTCTACGCAAACATAAGCAATGCAATTCAACGACTAATGAATGTCAAAAATATCCTAGAATCACAACCATCAAGCACTAGATGCATTACATTGTTTGTTTTATTGAAACACTAAACTAAAAAATAGAGCCCGTTTGGTTAGGATAATCTTGCTGATGTGTTTGAGTTTGCTGAATGTTCTGAAAAGAAAAACATTGTGATTTAGTCAAATCCATTTCATCTGAGTAAGTAAGTCAAGACATGTTTAAGGAGTTTTTTTTTTGCTTCTTTTATTGAGAAGTGAATAAAGTGGTTTACGAGATTACATGAAAAATGATTAATCAAAAAAGTCGATAGTGTTTGAAAAGAAATGTCATTTTGAAAAGTATATGTTGAGTCTCTGGTAAAATTATGCTTTTTGTGTGATAGAAAAATGAAAAACAGCTTAAAGCACCCTCTCATTGCTTCTAGCTTTTTGCTTTGAAGTGCTTGAAACACCTCTTTTCTTGCTGCATTTAACTTTAAAGTTTTTAAATTCAGGAGAAGCAGGTGTTTGAACAGTTCTTTTAACTTTTTAAAGCTACAAGCAGAAAAGCACTTTCTTTAGCACAGGAAAACACTATTTTACTCATTATTCTGCTGGTAAGCAGAATAAGCTACTTTTGATTACCAAATGGGGATATAAAATATTTCCAAACGAGAACAAACAAAGAGCTTCTTATTAAAGATGAGTTCACACTATCAGCATTTACTGAAAGGAAAGGTGGGCATAACTTACCGAAGTTCACCACCTAGTTTAATCAAATCATCATAATTCTGTAGTAGAAAGATTGATATTCAATATTCAAGCCATATATCCATCAAGCTCCTTCCTTCCTTCAGAACACAGTCATTTCATCATTGTCTGATACGAGATTGTGTCAGGCTTCAACCCAGAAGCCAGCATCCTACTAAAAACAGCCTCCGCCTCCTTGAACCTTCCCACCCGAAACAACGAAATCACCAAACAGCTGTGACACTCATCATTTGAAATACCACCACCGTTCCCACCAATCCGATCCACTATCTTATGGGCCTCATTGATATGACCATCCCTGCACAGTCCCTGAACCAGAGCAGCCATCAACACTCTGTTTGGTTTACATCCAAAACTCTCCATCTTATCCAGGATAGCCATTCCTTCATATGTACGCCCTTTTTCAACAAACGCTTGAATCAGAGTTGTGTAGGTGACAACATTTGGTCTGCAATCGCTGCTTTCTTTCTCCATTTCATCCAACAACTCCATTGCCCTCTCCAAGCCCCCAAATCTTGAAATCCCATCAAGAAGGGAAGAATACACCGTTGTTCCTGGAAAGCAGCCTTGCCCCTTCATCGTCTTAACCATCTTGCAAGCCTCTTCCAACCTGCCCACGTCACTCAACCTCTTGATTATCATAGTGTAAGTGGCCATATCAGGATAAAGATCAATGAGCCCCATCTCTCTCATCAACCCCATCGCCTCATCTATATCCCCCTTTTCGCACAACAACCTTATCACTCCATTATAACATATCACATCTGCCCTGCAATTGAATTCCTTCATTTTTCTCAACACCATCAATCCCAAGTCTGCATCTTTAGCCTCTCTGCACAAATTAAATACGACCCTAAACATTTGCACACTGACTCCGCATTCATCTTCGTCCCTGTAAGCCTCAAACACATCTGTGATTACTTTGGGGTTTTCGTCAATCTTCAGCAAGTTACAAGCTTTGATATACATGTGCCTTGAGTGTCTATATGATGGGTGAAGCCCAGCCCATATGAAGAACCTCAGACCCATTTGAGGGTTCTCAAGTGAGAACCTTTCCAGAACTTGGGTCACACAAGGTGCATCCAATTTGGCTTTGACTGAGTTGAGGGTTTTCTCTATGTTCTGCCCGTTTTTATGCAAATTGGTCACGAATTGTTGTGAAGCAGATAATGGTGAACATGAAGATGTGGAGAAGAGACAGGTGTTGCTAATTTGAAAAGTGGGGTTCTTTGAGGCTGATAAATGGGTAAAGATTGAGGCAAACCTCATGACAATTCTTTTAGTGAATATAGGCTACGAAGAAGGGACCGTGTAAACACCCGGAAATCTCAATTTTTTTAACAAAAACGACGTCGTTCTATAAGTTTAGTAGTATTCGAGAACCCTAAACCTGCGTTTCCAGTTACAAACAATCGGTCTTACTAGAAGCCAAAAATTCCTCCGCCGCTCCACCCGCTCGGTTATCTACTAGTTGATTAGAGTCCAAACCTCCAGGACTCCAGATTCTCTGCCGCGACTCCAGACCTCCACTTTCCTGCCGTTGCGCGTGGATCAGATAAAGGGGCGGATCCAGAAAGTTACAATGGGGTGATCTGAGAAATAAAATTTGAGAACACATACATAATAATATATAAAGTCGTCAACACTTTGCATATTCATCAAAACATCATTTAAGTTGTGCCCTACGCGACTTCAAGGTATAAAATTCATCAATAATATAGAATCTATATCTATTAATGCATTAAAGATGGAAGCAGCTCCAAATTTGAGATAGTTTGGATTTCGGAGATATGGTCTTGTGGAGGAACCTCATTTCGTATATCTTGCATTATCGTAGGTATAGGTTCAGAACTCCTTCACCACTTTGATGATTCACTTTCGGAAAGAATGACGATATCAACTTCTTTCCTTTATCGGCAATATGTTCATTAATCATTATCCATTCTAAAAAAAGATTTTCAATATTGGTATGAATTAAAATACTTCTATAAAATTACAAAACTAATAAGAAAAAACAATATTTGTACATAAAACTAATACGTATTCCCAATTTCAAAATTCAATTGAAAATTTTAATTCTTTCTTACATGTCCACACAATAAATAAATCAATCTATATTCTTCAATTGTATAATAAATAAATCACTCTAATCTTTAATTCTGTCTTTAATCATTATAAATTTATAATGAATAAACACTATATTATTATGAACCGAGAAATTCAATTAATAATCAAATTGATTCTCTAACCCTAAAAATAACAATAAACAATAACAATACACAATAACCCTGAAAAATTAAATTTATAAAAGTCTAAATGGGTATTAGAAATTTAGAGCTAGAGTATACCTGGTCGCGTAGAGGCTGGAGCTCAGGAGCTACAGGCAGAGCGGAGAGACGAAGATGAAGGACGGCCGAGTGGGCGACGGCTTCCGTCGGCGCGGCTGGTGGCCGCAGGTCGGCTGGTATTCGCAGTTCACAGCGTCATCGTCGGCTCGTCGCAGGCTGCCAGGCTCCTCTTCGACCTTCGTTCTTGAATCTTCGCTAGTGGAATAGATGGACACTTGGACTAAGCTTTGGGTTGGGCTGGATTAATTTTCGGGGTGGGCCGATAATCGAACCCATATATTAAGGGAACCCATTAATTAATAACTAAATAAACGTAGTAAATAAAATTGGACTGGGCTTGAGCCAACCCCTGCCCTTACAATGATCTGTCCCCAAGTCTCAGACTCTCACGCAGGGGTTCACGCAGCCCAGCAAACCAGAGCTGTCTATAGTCATTATGAAGCCCAGCAAACCAGAGCTGTCTATATTTTGTTTAAATATGTTTTATTCAACATAATTAAACAAAAACATAATATTAACTAAGTAGAAGTATATTATATTTCCTTCGTTCTTTTTTAGTTGCAACAATTTCAATTTCATGTTTGTTAATGCACAACTTTGATTATCAATATATTTAATTCTCTATTTGTAAAAAAACTTAAAGAAAATCACAATTTGAAAATTTTAAAAGTGCGGAATTTTATAATATTTTTAAAATCTCAAATTTAATACTCCATACATTGATAAATAAAATGTAGCCAAAGTAGAACACATCAATAATGTAAAATTTTAATGTAAATAAATATTGCGGTTAATATAAAATTCATCATATTAAATTAGAAAACCTATAATTTCAATAATAATGAATAAGTAAATGGTTCATAAATACAAATTTATTCAACATATATAAGGTTACAAGTATTCAAATCAAAATCACAAATCACAATCTATTATATCGAGATTATAAATATTGAGGTATTATTTAATTTATTGTAATACAATAATATACTCTAGGTCCTACTGCTCGGTGCTCTAGTGGATCAACAATGAAAAACTCGAAAGAAAAACTAAAAGAAGTAATTATGTACATAATAGGTACTAATAGAATTAAGTTTAACAATTTTGAAATTTAATCAACATTATATAATTATTATGTTTGTTTACCCGTATGAGTACACGATGTAAAAAATTATTGCGCACAACCTATTTTATTACTAGACCCAAAGGACCCAATGGGGGCAAAAAGGAGCAACTTTATGTTGGGACACATGGGTGCGCTACTGCACTTGGGTGTGCAAATACGGGTTTCCTCGTGATAGGAGCATGAGGCCCAGCAACTAATTGGAACAACATATTATGGTCTCAACGAAGTGTAATCACAAATACATAACTTTTTTAATGTAAAGCTAATTACACATATTAAAGTAATGCACTTCACATACGCAATTCTCATTACATTACGGTTTGAAATAAAATTGCATATCAAACATTGTATTTAAATTAATACGTAATGCTCATTACATTACATGATTGATTACATCATATCAAACTTAATTTTAAATCAATTCATGAATTTGTTAAAAGGCCTCAAGCAGTCAAGCCTGCAATGAAGCTTGCATGCTCAAACGCTCCATGCTTTGCCGATTGAAATCGCCGAAGGTCAAGGAACGATTGCTAATTTCAATTTTCTAAGGGGCAACTTGATTGTTTTTAAAAATGGAGGCCCTTAGAATTTGGGGGTCCTAGACAATTGTTTAGGCTACCTGCCCCTATGGCCGGCCCTGCAGCAAACCTCCAGTGCTCTACGCCTCCACCGCTCCACAGAACAGGTGCTGCGCAAGTTGTTTCTTACGGAGTATAAAGTTCTCTTTTTTTATATAAAAGGCGGTTTTTTTATATTAAAATCGAGAAAACATACAAGACAATATCCAGACAATTATGATAGATCTAATCGTCAATCCTAGGAATAGACATAGAATCACTCATCTCATTCAAAGCAACCTCATTCACTAGACACAAAATAAATAATTTTAAGTTTAAATCAATCAGAACTGAAACACTACCTATCAAACATACTCCAAAAATCCAGATATCCAAACCAGACTTACTCAAATTAAAATAAAAACAAGTACTACTAAAGGAAACATAAAATTGAAATCAAGTATTTCCACAAAACTCTTCCTGACACGGAGGTGGTTCCGGAGGAGGACGAGCTTTACCAATTCTTTTTTTTTCATTTTTTTAAATAAAATTCTTTGTTATATCCTTCTAATCCTTGAATCTTGATTGGGATGCTAATATCACACCAATCATATCAAGGTATTTGTCTTCTTTTTTATAAAATTCTAATCCTTGGATCTTGATTGGAATGCTAAATATCACACCAATCGGATCACAAGATAATTAGCTTTTTTATATTATTCGAAACAACTTTTATGAATTATTTATCTCTATGTGTAATTCGAGTGTGTATTTTGAATATGATAATGATATGCCCCGTACTAAAATGTTTGCTTCAAATTTGTTAAAATATTTAAGAGAAAACTAGTAAGGAAGGTTATAAGGGTATTGAATATGCATTACTTTTTCAGTACGACTAAGATTGTCTCATTTTTCTTTTTCGTTTTGTCCCACTAAAATTGTTATCTCAAATTTTCGTGAAACTTATATGATGCTAAATCATTATTACATTATTCTTACTTTATCAATTTAATATTAATCACATCAACTCATTTTTTAATAATCGTATCACTTCCGTGTGCCCCAATGTTAGTGGGAAAATAAAATATGAAAGGGAAAATAAAAGTAGAAAAGTTTAAGGGTAATTGAGTATTTTAAAATTGAAAGCTTATTAAAGAGATAAATGTAGCAAAGATTATTAAACATTTCAAAAAAGAAAGTGTAACGAACATTCAATAGAGTGGAATATGCAGTATTGATTATTGATAATTTGATATGCATATGGGCCTTTTAATATGAACATTACTAAAATAAAAACAAAAGGCAAAAGTGCGACTTGTTTTTTAAGTGTTCAGAAAATATGATTGATCATATCACCTTTTTTAATATAAAAGAGCGACTTTTATATTAATATTGAGATACAATACAAGACAATCTTCACACAGTTATTTCAGATTCGATCGTAAGACCTATCATAGACATAGAGTTAGTCACATCATACAAAACAATATGAATCATTAGACACGAAAGAGACAATCTTAATCCTAAAATGACCCGATTTGAACCACTACCTATTAAAAGAATTCCAAATATTCAAATTTCCAAGGCAGACCTACTCGAATAAAAAAACAAGTAATACTAAATAAAAAATAATACCAGAATAAAGTCTTTCCACAAAACTTTTCCTGTCGCATAGATGGTTTCAGAGGAGAACGAACTACTACAATATAGGTGATTACTTCTTACTTTATTTTGATTAGACATAGAAACAGTTGGTGTCAAAAACAATCTCTGTGCTTCTATCATTCTCTATGCAGCCCAAAAGAAGTCAAACAGAAACTCCTAATCGGATGAAGTCGGTCGGGACACCAAAAAAGAAACTCCCCACACAGAGGAAAACAAAACACACAAGAGCATCAATGCCCGAGAAAAAACCGCCTTAGAACAAAACAAACACATCAATAACAGAAGAACATGAAGTTCATCATACCCGTACACAGTCGGAATGGTTTTGGTCACATAATTCTCACTAATTTCCAAAATTCTTGTAGTGTTACCAAGAATCTTCGAGAGCGATGTCACATGCAAAAGAAACACGCCTCAAAATTCAGGCATAGGATGAGAGAGTCGATCTCTCCTTTTCCATTGCTCAACCACGCATCAGCTACTCGTCGCTACTGCCGTTCACGTCGCCTAGCTAGCTCGCCCGTCACCTGGTTCATCTGTTGCACACCTTGTTGTGACGATTCGAGTTTCATCCGCTAGAGCGTGGGAACCAAGGCCTGGTTATTAATTTATATTCAAAGTATAATGATTTAGCATATCACTTATACCCTTATTTAATATTACTAATATTCTATGTTTTTAATTAATAATTCGCCATTGTTTTCAAGCCGCCCCCAATGATTGCCACCGTAATTAAATCCACTTACGTCACACCAAGCACAGCCGCCGCTTGCACCTTCACCTCGCCGTTAGTGACCACAAAATGACTAAATAGTTGTTTAGCTCAATTGTTACTTCGTCGACAATTTAACTTATTATCCCAGTGAATGCATAGCTAATCACTAATGATAATGACCTCTCAATAGCAGTAATTGGAGCCCCCCGTCACCATAAAAGTCCATCACAAACCTCGTTAGCGGGCGTCTCCCAAATTTGATTTGCACGTAAATTATCCAAAAAAAATGTTTGATTGAGATTTGTGAAAAGCGGTGAGAAGCTATTTTAAGAATAGTTTAACTAAATATTTATTACTTTAAATGAGAATGAAAAGTTATATGAGGTGGCTAAAAAAGAAAATCGGTCAAGTTTTATGGACTGTAGTAATAGTTGTGTTTAAATTCATTTAAAAGAAATTGCGTGTAGAGTATTAAATTTCCAACGAAGATATAATTTTGTCCTTAAATATTTAAATTCATACAAAGAGTTGTGTTTATGTAAATAAATTAAGTGCATTATTTAATCCAAATTTGCCACTTGAAAACACTCATTTCAATGGATTTTTAAAACACTTTTTAAAGTTTTTGCAAATTCTCCCTAAGAGTTGTAATGGATTTTTTTTTAACACTTTCTTTCTTTTTAAGTTTCCTAACTTTCCTAGTTCCAAATTGTAACATCTTTAAGGTTTTTTTTTTTGCGATTTATTCTACTTTAACCAACTGATTTTAGAAAAAATGTTTAAAAAAAAAGTTAATAATGTTTGAGAATCAAGGTAGAAGTTCATATATTATCTATTAAAAAAATATTTTTGTGTGATAAAAAAGTGAAAAATAATTTAAAACACTCATAATAAAATAAGCGAGACACTTATTGTGATACAAAGGGAGTAATTGCTAGATATACACCGATTAATATAAAATTAGCAAATGCATTTATAATATTGCTAAATAGTCATTACAGAGACTTATTAAGTTATTATCATTTTATAATGTTTTAGTTATAATTTGTTAAGCATCGTATATGTCTATGTGGTGTTTAATATCATTCGTGGGCGCAATAGATGAGCATACAAATTGATTTTGGAATAGATCGAAAGGT